ACTAGGTCATTCGGGACTAACATGGTTCAATTTTATTTCAATAATTCGTTTGCGCGTAGGAGTCTTTAGCAGTAGGGGGTAATCGGAAGACCCGGAGAAAACCCACGAGGTTGGACGGGCGATCCTACTCCTTTTCACGTACAACCGGGTAACCGAAACCAGGCCAGTTAACTTAATGGCTGACATTATGATACAACGCGCACGCACTTACCATAGAAGGTGCACCTTTCAAATATTTGTTTCGTCAATAGGACCTATTTTGACTTTAGAATGTTGATTCGTTCAGTCAACTTATCGAATTCTCTGTGTCAAAGAATTGTGACAATAATATGGTATAAGCTTGGATTCGGGTGATTAACATATTATACAAGGCCGGATCCTGTGAGCGACGTTCTTGGAGTTGATACGTGGTGTGTCATAGTATGTTTAATATAGTATATTAATTAAACCCTTTTTATAAGAGAAATAGATTATTCAGACTACTCATATCGTGATTCACGAGTAACATAACACCTCAGTTAATCTATAGAGGCCCTCGAGCAGGGCTGCAGTCCCTAAGGCCTATAATATTGGTAGGCCCGCATGAAAACCGTGGTTCCTCGTTTGTCATGAATACATCTATTATGTAAGTTTTTATCAGTTGAATAATATATATGTTACAAACAGGTAATTTGCACACAGGTATATGTATATAGATATCTGATTAACATTTCATTATACCAGGAGTAAAGACAGATAAGTCATTAACATGTACAGATGACATTTCAATTAATTCCAACATTTAAAGGATAACAAGAGCATCGCTACCGCTGCATTATACGTCCACATTCCTGATTTGATTAATATGGTACATTTTAAAATAACGAGGATGAAATGTGAAATGGCTGCAATGACTATAAGGCAAAGAAGGCTAGGCGTTGGGTTTGTTTTGCCAAATTAACACACAAAACATTGACAAAAAAGTATGTGTGACACCACCCCTGGGGGTCGGGACATGCACCAGATATAGATGCTGTTCTTACGGTATAAGGAATAAGTATGCAACGTTTCAAGATTATCCGTTAAGAAATGCGTCCTGTAGATGACAAACAAACATATACAAAAAATGTAAATGTACGTGGCTCTGTCCCTGGGATATCAGACATGCACCAAAAACAGTAGAGATCATCCTTAGAGTATAAGAAGTATACAAAGTTTCAAGAAAATCCATTAAGAATTGCACCCTGTATATAGGCAACCCACAGACGCACAAACAAGACCCATACAGACAGGGGCGACGGCATAATACGCCCACATGATGACATTGGTGACATTGCTTTTACAAAACGAACAATAACCCATATATTTCTTAAAAATAGAATATGTTTTATCCGAACCACATACACGAAAACAGCATAGATTTAACAATCATACGTTGCACTCCGAGACGGGATATTCCGCTACTCATAGGACTCTTTCTTAAATGGGACATGGTGTACAATTCTTACTTATTCAAGGCTAGGGTTAGCGATTCGGTCATCGGTATCGGTATTTAAAGTATGCATTATGTAAGAACTAAACCTGCGTATTGCAAGTATTTTTTTTTTTTTGGGGGGGGGGGGGCTTCAAATGTTATATATTCTCACATTTAGGCATCTATTCACATGGCAAGCTTATAATCAACTCTCAACTCTCTAGAACATTAGGTGGCGGAGATTTAAACGGATTAAAATACATTCGCCATTGATCTAATATTAAAATGGCGAAGCGAGGCTAAGTCTCGAATAACAAGTACCGTTGTTACGATAATAAACAATATAATATATGCTACATCTTGTCAAAACTTCAAACAGTGATTACGTCGCTCAGAATAGGTAATTTGAACGAAATTTTCAATATATTTATTTTTTAACTATTATAGTAAGAACGACCAGCTAAATCTTACATAATGGCCAGAAATTCTAGAAAATATCTCTGGTACCAATGTGGTTCGATTTCGTACAACGGGGCATGACATATATTTCTATAGTTCAGTTCCTTAAATTACTGCCCAACTACAAAGATGCCCACAGATAATCGTTATTAATTCCGGCGAAACGTTGATATTTCCACGCTTAGGTCAGCTAATATACTATTAAAAAAAAGTAGGGGATATTTGATTTTTAAGTGTTATTAAAGTCACCTAATGAAACTGACGAAGAAACAAATGACAAAATGAAATGAAGTTCACATTATAAGGGTAAAATGATACCCGTGGTCAAACAGCAAAGTTACCACAGCATCACAACCAAGTCAGTAACGGGTAAATCCTCCTCTAACGTCTTGGAAGCGCTCGTTTCGACGACGCCACACCCTCCTACGTCTGTCCAAAAAATCAACAGTGAACCTTGACTCATCTGAAAACATCACATTGCTCCAGCGTCGATTATCCCAGTGTTGACGATCCCTACACCAACGACGTCTTGCCTGAATGTGATGATCTCTCAAACAAGGGATCACGCGAGGACGTCGGGCGCGAAGGTGACCCTATGCAGCCGATTCCGAATCGTCTGGCCACTCACTCTCACACCAGTGTCTGTTTGAAGACGAGCGCTGATCTGATTTGCTGTGATGACACAATTTCTCAAGGCCAAGGTACGGATAAATCGATCCTGGGCTTGAGTTGTCGCACTTGGTCGACCTGAGCGTGGTCTGTCCTGTACAGATTGTGTATCACGGTATCTGGACCATAGCCTGCTTATGACAGACTGAGAAACATTCATCGTCCGCGCCACAACCGCCTGTGTTGTGCCGATCTGTAGCATGCCAAGGGCACGTAACCTTTCATTTTGGGTAAGCCGACGCATATCAAAATTTGTTTTCTGGTCACTAAAACAATTAAACTGATGTTTCCACCCTGGAATTCAATGCCACAATGACTGTAACATTCAAAGTCAGAGTCGTGCAAATCTTGGGTTGGACCCCCATGATGATCCCAAGCATCACCTGCATTCCATGCGGTAGCTATTGGTGCGTTTGGGCGTCACATGTAACTGGAAATGTTTCTTCTGTTAGGTTCTATAGTGACTTTTTTCGTAGTCATTTGCATATTTTAGTATTATGCCCCCAAAATCAAATATCCCCTACTTTTTTTGAATAGTATAATTTATTGGGATAACAACTAAAAGAATTTCCATTGTTGATTTTTTTGTCGAGGATAATCCTTCTTTCTTTCAGCGAATACATCATCGATCTCTTAATGTTGACCGAAAGTCCGAAATAAGTAGGGACGGGGACATCCCAAAAATTACAATAAAAATACAATATATTTTTAAAGTGTCTTTGATGTTTTCCGTACATGTGTACGCTTCGTCAAAAAATGTAACATATGATCGTATTTCCTGTTGATTTCCGGAATCAGTGGAGGTTTTATTTGATTTAAGTTGAGAATGACGGAAAGATAAATATTGTTTCTTGTTGCTATGTGGGTTTGTGTTACAGATTAAGAGAAAGTGACACTTAATCGTGGCAAACTTTAAAGTCAGTTCAATACTATACCCCCTTTAAAAAGTAATCAAATTTTGATATTTTGTACCGTGTTTTTCAGATATCCACATAATTTAATAATACTACTAAATTCTAACATTTGCACCAGCACTTTATATTAATTTCTTTAAGAATTACACACGTTCTGAACTCAGAGACCCGCTACTAAGGCTTTGTGGCTAACTACAGGGTTAGATCTATTTACCAAAGCCATCTGCAGATTTCCTCAAGGTCACGAGATGTAAACAGAGCTAGCGCTAACCCTAACTATAACCCAAGACCTAGCCATAAGCCTTACCCTAAGCCACAATCCTCGGCAACAAACATGTGCCCTAACCCTGATTACATCTCGTGACATTGAAGAAATCTGCAGGTGACCTTGGTAAACAGATCTATCCCTAGCTATAGCTATCGATCTTTTTACCCAAAACGTGTTGAAAATAAAAACTAAACAAAAGAAAAAAAGGAGTCATTTACACTAAAAATGCCAATCATTTGTACTAAAATTCTTAGGTGGAACATCCCCTGTAGTAATTAGTAAAGGATATCTTCGACGTTGGCGGGTCTTAATTTGCCCATATTCCCGAAGCAATGGCCCGAGAAATGCCTCTCTGGCCATTGCTGGATTGGCTTTTCTGCAATATTCTGCTATGCACTGGTTAATTGGGCATAATAAAACTGCGAGTCATGACGTAACGTCATGTAAACATAATTAGTCCAATTTAGAGCTCTGTTTAAAGCGTAATGATATTGTTACGCAGTTAGCTATTGGTTGTTAATCGGACTATTGACCAGTCCTAATTTGGAACAGAAATTTGCTTCCATTTCAGCAGTGTTAAGTGGGATTAGCTCTAATCAAACGAAACACTGCAAGGAGTATGTAATTTCCCATCCTTTACAATCTCATTGAAACACAGATCCTATTTCGTTTCGATTTTTGTAGTTAAAAATTTCGTTGCCATCGTAATAATGATCTCTGTTTCAATCAGATTGGCATCATTTACAAAGGCTAGAGATTTATTCAGACTCGATCTTTAATACGCGGTCCATAAATTGCATGAAGTCTACACACACAACAGAAGTAATTAGTGGACTGACCCCATCTCAGAAACCTTGGGAATGGAATGAGTTGTCTCCCTTATACTGTAGTCCGCGACTTAATTATATATATATATATATAGGTTTCTGCAATAGTTGTGGGCCTTACTAGATCTATTTGATAAGACCAACTTGAAGTTTGGTCAAAGGTCACGAGATGTAAAAAGGCTAGTGCTAATCCCAGCCCTAACCCTGGACATAGCCCTAATGCTTACCCTAACCTACAAGCTCGCCAACAAGCATGTGCCTTAACCTTATTTACATCTCAACAAATAGATTTAGCCTACGACCAATCTATACTGCACATTACTTTCATTCTGAAGATCAGTTTCGTCCAATAGATATAGTTCTTACATCAGATTCTGTAACTCTTCTTTTAAGGATAAAACAAACATCCATCATTTCAAGACATTTATTATTTAATGTGTCATTCTACTCAATTTATAAACAATATTTTACTGATACACAGCCAAAAACTATTAATGATTATGGTCTGTTATCACAGCTGGTCATAATTAGGCCTCCCATAATTAATCCCTCTGTTAAAATATTAAAATAAAGGGAAGAGCATCATATGTTATTGATATTAAACAATGTCCTTGTAGCGATGAGGCGGGAAGTAGCATGAAAGAAATAAAATAGGGTTTAACGTCCTACTGTTCTGCTCCGAACTGGGCTAATGAAGACGGGCATATGCTATACAGTGTGCTATGAGGGAAATTTTGCCTGGACAGCGGCACTACAATCTACTCTTATATCGAATTCAAAAATCTCTTTCAAAATCTTTCAGATTATCCCTTTCTCCTTTTAATCCCGATCATCCTTTTTTTTGGGGGTCTCTAAATGGCATAACTCAAACCACTTCATAAAATGACATATTTGATATTTTTACCATAACAACAAAGTGTAGATTAACTTTACCTTAATATTTACTACTGAAATTCTTATATGTAGCAAATTATACATTGCTGTCAACCCCACCAAATCCTGTATTGATGCTAAACAGACAAAATCAATCATTTTTGCACATCAATTAATGTTCTGTTATCTTACTTATGATACCATTTAAGTCATGTTATAATAAACCATTTCTTGAATTAGTTTAAGCATAATATGCCATTTAGGGAGCGAAAAAAAGGGGGATAAAAAGGTTTCTCTGGAGGGAGTTGGGAGAAAGGAAATGAAATGGGGTTTAAGGTCCTACTGGACAAGTTTATCAGATATTTTACTCCCAGAATTTATACTCCCAGCTTTATGGGCGGGGGGTATGGTAACAAAGATAAGCATAATAAAGATAAAGATATTGGAAACCACAATGCTGTTTATAACAAAATCTTGCTTAGAAAAATGTTACTATATAATTCCTTGATAACTATCGCTATGATAAAATTTTTAACAATGTATTGCCATCAATGTAGGCTACCATAATATTTTCACCATTAATCATAATAAAAACATAAATAACAATTAATGCAATATTCTTGTAATAACAAAATGTTACAATCAATGTAACATTGTTAATTATAATAACAATCATTGTAAGAAGTTCTTGTTACTGCTAATCATGAAAGCAAAAAATAACAACCATGAAATAATGTAATCAAATGTTACAATCAATGTAATATTATCATCAATGTGATATTGTTACTACTATTCATAATAACAAAATGTACAATCAATGTAATATTATCATCAATGCAATGTTGTTACTACTATTCATAATAACAATGTGTTACAATCAATGTAATCAAAAGAAAAAAATGTTACAATCAATGAAATATTGTTACCTGCACCAGAAATCATTATAGCAAATACTGGTACATGTAAGTTCTAATCAATTTAAAATTGTTGCTGCTAAATTATAAACAATGTAATATTGTTACTACTAATCATAATAACAAAATGCTAAATCAATGTGATAAATAACAACCATTGTAATATTTTTTCCATTAAAATCAATATAATAGTGTAACTGCTAAACAAAATGCAACAGCTATTCAAAAGAACAAAATGTTACAAGCAAGATATACTGTTGTTAATGTTAGTTGTAATAAACCCACTTATAAGTAGTTGAAAGCTGTTGCTCCCATTTGAAAAGCTTAAGACAGTTGCATTTAGAAACGATAAATTCTATAATTGATAACTTATTTGAAGTAAGTTCAATAAACTATACTCTAAAATAATCAAATGAATATATGTCGATGATATAATCACACATCTGCAAAAGGTTCAATTTATAACTTAACATAGAACACACATTTCTATTCATGCTAGGTTTATAATAATTATATTTAATAATATTTATATCATACAACAACAAATAAACAATAAAAACAATATTATGATATCTAGTATTCACTATATTTACTATATATCTACAATATTAAAAAAAAAATTATACACTATTTTGTAGAAAGTCATTTGTTAGTAATTTATATATTTTCTATAGACTAGTGCACAAACCTAGTTTATCTAAATACTGCCCCTCACATGAATTATAAATTTTAAAAAAGATGATTTGTGTGTAAATATGTGTTTTTCCATTAACCAGCATAATATATTTCAAGTTCAAACATCACAATTGTCATGATCAAAATTGGTTTTCTCTCTTTTATCAATAGTTTTTCGAGAAAGCATATAAACACACTTTGCTTAAACAGGCATTAAGCAAGAGCTAACTATGCCTATTGCAGGTCTTTCTTTAGGCCTTAAATGTTCTATAAATTATTAATTAGACATTAAACATACATTATGCGAGAGCTAAATCTGCCTATTGCAGGTCTTTCTTTAGGCCTGAAATGTCATCTAAATTATCAATTAGACATTAATTAACGTATCCAGACCATAATCAACTCTCGATGTCAACGCTAGCCTGCAATGTTTATTGGATTAGGATACCATTTGCTGCTCCACTCTCTTCTTGATTTAATCATGAAATGGATAATCGAGACTATGTTTTCTTATCATACTAACTTTAGTAATGATGATTGAGGCTAGGCCGAAAATTCAATCGCTAAAATCTTGGTTCAGAGTGGATCAATTTGCCTGAAATTTTCAGCAAATTCCCTTTACATTATCTAGTTTTTAACTATTATAGTGAAAACTGCCAGCTTCTTATCTAATCTCCCTTAATGTGTCTTTAATTAACTTACCAAGACCATAATTAACTCTTGATGCCATCAGATGGCTCTGATATTTAGTAGATTTGAATACGTTTTGCAGTTGATGAAATAACTGTAAAAATGGATAACCGCAACTTTGTTTATTATCGTAACAACGTTCGCAATGACAATTGAGGCTACAGTGTTATTGTATCACCGATAACTAGGCTCAGAGTGAAGTAATTTAACTATTATAGCAAAAACTGTAAGCTCTTTATCTAATCTTAACTAATGCCCCTTTAAGTTTGATGAAGTTAAAAGTGAGTTTGCTCTAGAGCTCTAGACAATATTCACGGAAGACACAACTTATTTTAAAGCAATTATAATATATAAAATGGACTGGTATATTGACCATTTAAAGATATGTTCCCTTAGGTCATCTCTTGAACCTTTTAAATTTTATCTTAAATGTGATATACCGGTACATAATAGCCAGGAAAAATTAAATTATAAACTAAAATGAAACTAAATTAGGATTAATGCCGTACAACAATTAAACAAGCTAAATTTGTCTTGTAAGCCCACAATAAATTACACAAGCTAATTATTACAAATTATCAACATTCAGGCTGATATTGATATATTTATTTAGGGTGAGCATTGATCACACGTTTACTTGCTAATGTGAGTACTGGTCTATTCGTCATCTTGCAAGTGTAACCATATTAATGGTGAATGTGTTCAAATTTCTAAATTGCTGTTTTTTGATAATATATTTTCCCTAGTAGTTTGGATATGTTTCCCAATCAATATAAGTAATATCCCAATTGTCAAGGATATGTATCTTTAAAATCTACTTCCTGGGAAGTGAAGTACTTCTTCAGACATGTACAAAGTGGCAGACACACTAAGCAAATTTCTGCTTGAATCATTCAACCGAATGTGTCAGCCATAGGCGTATGAGCCAATTTTTCTTGGGGGAGGGAGGGGGGAGCAGGGCTGGATAATTTTTCCCTGAAAAATATGGCGACAGCGCCAGAAAAATTAACCTACATAACTATCAGATAGCGCCTGATCACATGATCACAAAATAACCGTATTAAAGTCTTGAAAATTAACGGCAAGTAGCACCTAGTGGAGTCAATTTTCTGGAACCGCAGTTTGAGTTTGAAAATGCACCCGGAATCAAAATCCACTTCAAGGACAATGTTGGTGCCAGTCATTATCACATATGTGATAGAGCTGGTTAAACACATTCCAAATATAATTTTAACACAGAGATCATTGCTACGATAGCTGAGTAAGTCATCTCTCTATATTACTGACTGATGTGACTAGTGATAACAGATATACGGGCGAATTTCTGCTCACTAATAATTCATTCGAAGACCAAAAGTTGTTGTATGAGATTGTGAGAGGATATCTGACAATTCATAAAAAGAATTGACTGCCACTAGATAAGTGAACATGAAAGAAAAACAGAAAAAGTCCGTGCATTACCATGTTTTTATTAAGATATAGAATGAATATAAACAACTTTTGGTCTTCGAAGGAATTATTAGTGAGCAGAAATTCGGCCGTATATCCGTTACCACTCGTCACATCAGTCAGTTATATAAAGAGATGACTTGTGTTTTCCTTTGGCGTTCGTCACTTCCGACTCAGGAAACCTGTATTACTCAGCTATCGTAGCAATGATCTCTGTGTTAAAATTATATTTAGAATGTGTTTAACCACCTCTATCACATATGTGATAATGACTGGCACCAATATTGTCCTTTCATTTTGTGGGATGGAATAATTTTCATATTTTTCCTTTTATATCCATTACAATTTTTTTTTTTCCTGTCAGAAAAATGTGATGATCGCTCGTAGAAAGAGGAGGGAGAATAGGAGTGACTGGGCGAAAACCTGGTTCACTTGCCGAGACACACATTTTTTTCTTTAACAATCTCGTTCAACAGTTGGCTACATCAGTGATTGGCTAATGTATTCTACAATCAGGCAATAAACGCAGCGAATGAAAATTTGACTGAATATATCAAACATGTTTAATTTGAGTGAATCATTTGCGGCGAATACAAATTCGGCATCGGGACTCTGGACACACCAGGTTAATTTCGCTAGTGTGTCCCCCGTTTAAGTGGTAGCAGTACTGTATACTCTACACCATAATCTTCATTCATGTATAGGCCTACACCACATTCAGTTTTTTTTATTATGTCAAATAGCACAGTTTACAGATTGCCAACGCTAACAATACCAAAATACTGTTATAATAAAATAATACATAATATCTGAATATGAATAATATCGTTAGCAATAATCGTTTCTTAAAGATGCATTATGTAAGATTTAGATAAAGAGTTAGCTGTTCTTGCTATAATACTTTATTCTAAGCTAAGTGATCAATGTTTGAAAATGTAGCATAGTTTGTTTTTTATTGTAGCAACGGTACTTGATAATCAAGACTTGGTCTAGATTATCCATTTTAAATTAAATTATCAAATTGCGATGTGTTTCAATCCATTTAAATTTCGGCCATCCGAAAGTTGATTATAGGCTTGTCATATGAACAGGTGTTTAAAAAATAGTTTACATAATATGTGAAGCCAAAACAAAGACCAGCAATAGGCAGATTTAGCACTTACATAATGCATCTTTAAGGTATAATTGTTTAAGAAACCAAAAATGAAATTATGACGTGGCTTATAAATGGGAAAAATAAAACAGGCCTAAAATTTTTATCAGACATGCAATTAAATCCAATAACAAGGGTATTTCTTTCTGTCAAGAGGCAAACTTGAATCAACCGGGAAAGATAACACAGCATCATTTACTTAATATCAATTATTGGTATGTTCAGATTTATTGCACAAGGTACCAGTAAATGAACTTTAAGCATGGAAAAACAAACACAGGTCCCTGATGTGCACAACATATGTTAATGTACAGCTATTATGACATTTTTAGATAACACAAAGAATGTTCAATGTTTATCAATACCTTATATTAAAGAATGAAATTCTTCCATCACTACTGTATGATATTTTCATTAGGAAGGCACTGCTAACAGTTTTAAACTAATACCGGTATTTGTATTTTGATATTCATTGTCTACTCCACTGGCTAGAGGACTAAATTTAAAGGAGCTAAATCTCTAATCTTTGCAACCCAAATTGGACAAAAATATGGCTCAAAAAGAACATATTAATGTATATATATTCAGATTAATTTAGGTAGTTTTCTGTTTTCTTACTGTTCTATGCATATAAATATTGTTTCTGTCCTTTAAAAAGACCATTATTTTTAATTGACCAAAGACCAAAACCTATGAGCAAAAAATGAAATTTGTTTTTACTGGTTGCTATGGAGTCTTGCCTAATTTGTTTTAATAATTTTCAATAAATTTTTTCTGCAAATTAATATGATATCAACTAAAAATCTTGGACAATTTTTAAGATAAATGCATACGTCACATAACAATTTAAAGAATCGTGGAATACAGAATTTAAACTGATACATAGTTGTGTTTCCTATAGCCAGAGCCGTTACATTCATACTGACACAATTCTCATGCATGTATCTTCTGAAATACTACTGACACAACTTAGCCATCTTTAAAATTCACAGGTTCCCAGTCACAAAAATAAGAGAAAATTTGACAGCTAGTCTTAAAATCATTATGCTACAAGTTAATAAATAACAATGATTCTAAATAAATGTCCACTATAATTTACTTTTGCATGATCTTAGGAATTAAAACAGAAAGCAAATACCCACCAGAAACTTTTAAGGACTGCCACCTTTATATACAGTCTTCGCATGCTTTTTAGGCCAAGAACCATTACTCTGTAATATGACTAAAATTGATAGGGGTGGTACTGTTTAAAATACATAACACAAGTTTGAAGAAAGTCTATTTCAGAGTTTTGACTGCTAGGGCATTCACAGGATTTTGAATTCAAGGTTCACAACACGACAGAGGTCATGCTCTCTTAACTAAAACTGATCACTGCAATTCCTCTTCAATAGTCTTCTTTATGAGTCTTTAAGGTCAAGGACCTGGAGTGGCAATAACACTTTATGACATAAAGTCTGAACATTTTTCTTGAAGAACTTCAGTGTCTGATGATTTAATAAGAAAATATTGATAGCTGATAGCTGGTAACTACAATATACAACCAGTTTTTAGGTTCACATAATAGGGAACATTTCATCACAAAAACTGATGGAAAAATATTTTAGTTTCCTGAGCTAATGGAAATTTTAACAGACAAATGTACATTGATAACCACAATACACAAGCACATTTTTAAGGAAGCTAAATGTCTTTGATTTAAGTAAAACAACCAAAAATATTGAATTGGATTGATCTGATGTGTTGTTTTGATTATTAAAGATGGAGAAATTCTTTGTATCATTCAATTTTCATTATGAAAGATTAATTGGAAGTTTATTTAGTAATTTGAATTAAGAATTCTTGCTTACTCTGTCGACTACTGTATACACAATCGATTATACCTCGACTCTGGCTTCATCTATGAACTTCATCTCACAAATCAAATAAACACATAAAACACAATCCCATCGACAATCGGAATTTATACCCAAATCAAAAAGAGAGTGCCATTTTAAATATAGGCAAGTTAAAAGAATATTATCTACATCCATACATATATATGTGCATTTTTCTATTAAGGAAGTATTTATATATAATAATTAAAAACAGTTAAATAGAGTTTAGTAAGACCAGGGCTAAATCAATATAAAATATGGTACTTAATTAGTATTTGATTATATAATTATTAGAATGAAAAATAAACTATAGTATATGAAATAATCAATAATGATATATCACGGTCACTTAGGTTGGTGGACGGCAACTTTCTTGGTGTTTATAAATGTAACTCGGTTTTCAGCTGCAACAACAAATGAAAAAAACAAAAGTTTTAAAACAGACGTCAAACATTAATATCTACATATTAATATCTACATATAAACATCAGGGGAGTTCACTCTTTAGCACTAAAACTGACCTAACTAGGGGTCCTAGACTGCCCTGTTATGAGCAAAGTTGTGGCACTTTAGATCATAGGTCTGTCATTGAGTCAGGTGGTGTAATTTCAACACCACACTTGTACCTGTCAAAGAATAGAATCAGCTGCTAAACTTTGTGGCTTTTCTCTGGGTCCTCCAGCTCCCCGTCACGCACAAGCGAATTAATGAAATAAAATAGTACAATGTTAGTCTCGAAATGGACTAGTTTGTGTCAAGTGGATGTAAGTGTAAGGCCTATATATATTTATCTATATACAAGTTCAATGTTCTAGTTTGATATATTATCATGATCTACCTATCTCTACAAATTATATAATTTAAAAACAGAAATACGGTTAATATTTATATTAAAGCTCTCCACTTAGTACAATAGTTATCAAGATATTTGACAAGGAAATAATGCAGAATTTTTTTAAGTGTACCCATTAATGTGCCAGTGGACATAATTTATTTTAAGATGAGAATTGTGCATCAACCCCAACGCAACCACATGCTATACTGATTAAATGTTTTGTTTGCATGATAAGGGATGATTTATATTTAAAAGAGATTTGTGATCAATTAAACAGGTAAACAAGTGTAATGTTTACATAGTTTCTACCAATGTCTTTTTTAGATTTATATATTTTCAACCACACTCAATCAAATGAAAACAGCCTTTCATTACACAAACTTGTGACAGAATAATGATACATGTTGTCAGACCCATAACTCAAACATAAATCTCAGTCTATATGTACATGTAGGTAAATATACATCTTTATTATTAAAGATTTTATATCAAGGTCATCTATAGCAACAAGGACATTAAAGATGGTAAATATTGGACTTGTGAAAAATGGTTGATAAATAAAAATGGCACATATAAGAGTTAAATACAGAATACACATTATTCTAACAGAACTAACAAGTCACAGGCTAGAATGGCAAAAAAAGCACATTTTCTACGGAAGTGCAAGACCCCCTTTCTTCTAGGCTCCATGGACAAAACAATTTATTGGTTGTTTGGAATTCAGATCTGCCACCTAAATTAAGCTATATTGGGCCACTTGCTGTATTCACAGCCTGAAATAGAAGGAAAACTCGTTTGGGGCCATTAAATTTTCTTCTGGGGAGGCTCCTACACAGTAAACTCTGTGCCTTCGGCACTCGCATTTCAGGTCTGGTCCCCTAACATTCATCGGGCCCGAGAAACATTTTTTTTGTTAGGGTGGCCATAGATATATAGTACTTGACTTATCAATTATTCTGGTTTTATTTTTTAATGATAGTTAGACCTTATCTCTCATATTTTATTAGTTAATTGCCAATTTTATAGTTCTCACAATTATGTCACATAAAGATAATACTTACATATTTGATATACAGTATAGTAATGGAAAAAAAACTAAGGATTATCACATATCCCATATACTGAAATAAATTAACAAACTCCTGAAAATAGAGAGAAATATCATTATAAACTTCATGTTTCTACACCATTCAATAGCAATTTAAAATCATACATATTTTATTGTATTCATATTTTTCACCAAATGAATTTACCTGCACTGAGGCATTTTTGAAAATTCCAACTGCCCAAGGAACATTTTCTTGTACCCTCCAAACATGTAGAGTTACATGTAGAGTTACATGTACATCCTTGTCACATATTGGTTTATATGTGTCTTAAAGGAGAAGGTCCATCTGTTTCTTAGCAGATGATACATAATAATGACAACTACTCGAATCAACTTCTAGGTGTTTCTGTTCAAGCACTACCTTTAAGTATGTGTCAGTGACGTCATCAATACTTTTCAGATGTCAGTGACGTCATCAATACTTTCAGGTGTAAGTGACGTCATCAATACTTTAAGACATCAGTGACATCATCAATACTTTCAGACATCAGTGACATCATCAATACTTTCAGGTGTCAGTGACGTCATCGATACTTTCAGGTGTCAGTGACATCATCAATACTTTCAGGTGTCAGTGACATCATTAATACTTTCAGATGTCAGTGACGTCATCAATACTTTCAGATGTCTTTTCAGCTTAAAAATGGCAGTGGTTTTCGTATATCGGTCAAATTTATTTATTCTGTGTGTCAAAATTAACTGTCTGGGACATCACAAATGCAATCTTTAATTTACATGCAGTATCGCATTCAAAAGGAGGTGCCTTGAAAGTTTTCTAAAAAACGTTGGTTAAGAGTAGCCAAGCCGTCTGAGCTTCTGTTGTAAGTAATGAGAGAATTTCCAAGATATTAAAAACTGATCAAGAGTGACAAGCCATGAAATTATCAGAAATATCGCTCTTGTTGAGGTAGTTTAGCCATTTATCATTTGTTATGAATTAAGTACAAGAATTCAGTCAATGGCTACCTATTAAGGGCCATACATATCTTGACCTTTAGATATATATCATTGAAAATTCATACAGTAAAGATACGATGATTAGAAATCTATATACATACATGTATAAGGAGACATCACAGTACGTATTTATAATATACAAGCTATGTATATTTCATATTGTTTACTAACCCACCAGAGAAGTACAACTTTATTATATGACTAGGACTCTTGCCAACAGGATATGTTTATAAATAAAACACATTTTGTTATAGTCATAAAACAAAAACATTTCTTTATATTTATAGTCATAAAACTGTCACTATCATCAACTTTCAAATAAGATAAAAAAAAAAAAAAGCAGTTCTTTAGGGTCCTAAAATTGTCAGATAAAACATTACATGTATAATGAACAATATTTTTCTTTAAATCAAAAAGAAGTTAACCGTTATATAAAAGTGTCATGTGATTGCAATGCTGTTCAATTATAGTCCCTGATAATGAACTTTGAAATCAAGTGATGTGACGTGACATGGGATTGGTCAAGATAACCATGCATTAAAATTGATTTCTAACAAGTATTTGTTTACTAGGTTTAATCATACGTAAATTTTTTCAGTGGGACAGTTTTGGGATTTTGAATAATCGACAGTCTTGTTTTTAATACGATACATGAAAATAAATCTCCCAAACATGCCAGAATAAAACTTAAATACAGAGTTTAAGACTACATACATTTGAACAATATTGTAAGTCATCATAACTTTGTTATTGTGCTTTAGTTTATATAAATATCTACATGTACATGTTCCATATATTACACTATTGACAGATGTTAAATAGTTTATCACATAGTACACCTACAGTCGTTTAATACATATGTTGTTTATTGCTTGCAATGTCAGTGTAGTTTGTGTGTCTTGTCCATAGGTTTGTCTCATGAGCGTTGTTTTTGTGTGATACAGTCCTCCGGTATTTACTATGGAATTATGCTACCTGTACTAGAGAATGACCACCTTTAATTGTACAGACGCCATCTTGGATTTAACTGTAACCCTTGATCTTATTTTAAGGTCAATTTTGGTAAGCATTTTGTTACATGACCAGAATATCATATCAAGCTAAACTAAAAAACGTTGTTCTAGGTTGCATATAGTCCAAATTGTAGATTGACTAGACTATTATAGGTTTTGGTTTGTGTGTGATGTTCCTGTATTAACTAATACAATATGTATGTGATATATAATATTTATTATATCATATACATATAAACAGACTGATGTAAAATACTCACGATCAATAATACAGCTAATTAACGTCATTCAATTTTAATGAAAGTAGCTACATGTAATATACTATAGTGGAAAACTGTTAAAAGCTCTGGCATTTCAAAGATTGCCTTTAGTTTATCCATTAGTCGACACAAAAGTGAACAGTACACCTGACTAAGGGCCAGTTTAGACAGGCAAATTTATCTTAAAATAGGAATATTAAAATCTATTTTAGCCAACAACATCCAGTATTTCCACAAAGTTACAACATACTATATTATGGTTATCTGCAAATATTATTATTACGTGTTGAATCTAACAAACCTCCACATTTCTCAAAAATATTTGAAAATTTTAATTCTTAAAACTTAAATTGATATCAAAATAACATATATTTACAGAAAGGGATACTATCGAGAACAAGGTTGATTAACGACAATAAATTATTCTGGATTACAAAGATATATTGCTATTTAAAGAATTCAAGCCATTTTAGTTTTACACAAGGCCCACGCACATGTAGCCTTATACAAGTAATTCTATTGTCCAGATAGAAATGATAGTTTTTTTGAAAATCTGTCTTTCATAACAAACATGTGAAATAATTTAATTCTCATTATCGTGCTGAATTTAAATCAAATTTCCTCAAATTCTTTTACAAAGGCCTCTAATGTATTTCTTTATGTCAAGTGTTTGTGAGATTAAATTCAAGGAAGTAATTAAAGAAACTAAGTCTTCCTCTATTTACGATGAATTAGTGAAATTTGTGAGGTTTCTTTACAAGAGCTTAAGCTTTACGAGATTAAAAATGATTGGATTATAATCTTAATATAACTACATGTATAATAACAGGATTGGTCTGTAAAAATAGTTCAAATTCTGGTTTATAGCTTTTTGGAATCAAAGTCATTAAAGAGGCATTACCTCTCACCAAGTGTGGATTTTGATAGCTGTGTTAAAAATGAAATTTTGCCCGGGCAGCGGCACTATCACCTGCTCTTCTATCGAAATCCAACTGCCAAGAGATCTTTTACATGTACACCAATGTATACACAGGACCTGTTTTTTTGTTCCATCCGAACGACTAAGACAGCTGTCCTTGTCAGGCCCTCCCCATCCTGCACCATTGACAAGAGGACACCATGTCAGAAAATCCAGATGAACTTTCTCGAACACACGACATTTAGTAAGGCTAGTAAGTGAGCCAGCATCTTACCCAATAAATCACTGTGGCTCCCTCTGTGTTAAAATGTGATAGAAGTAATCAACAAATTATTTGATTGTAGTTGTAGTAAATCACGATGATCTATTGCGTGTTTCCACGGACAAAACAATTCCCTTACAAATATAATAAAGATTATATTTACCCATATTTTATCAAAGAAGATTGAAAATAACACATAATTTATTAACACTAGTCCTTCACACAACCTCCATGACCACATCATTAACCATGTAAAACATGTATGTAGATAATATGATTGTAATGCCTGAAATAATAACAGAAATATAAAATAAAATAAGTAATATTATGAGGACGTAAAATCCACAAAGCTTACATGTACATGTGCATTGTACGTCCAACCATCAGTAAGCAAAGGTTTCTGGGCTTAAATTCTGCTGCACAGATGTACTCATCATCTATTAAAGTAGCTAAGTCCGTAACTCAATATCATCCAAAATCTTAGACATTGAAAACACGATTTTTATTTTTGCAATTTAAATCAGCAATGGTGTTGTAGTCTTACCTGGAAAAGATGGGCTTCTGATATCCAATATTTAAGACAAAATAAACATTTTACCATTGGTACACGAATCGTGTACCATAATGCGTTTCAGCGCCATTTGTAACAAGGTGCTCAAAGAATGAGGCTAGACATATTCCACAAGTCATGTCAAACGATGATGCCATATTCTTATTTGGAGAGCATGCGCAATATATACTATCGGTGTTGACTGGGATAACCAGATGCTAGAAACTGTCTTTCGGTTGAGACTTCTGGCGTATTTCGCCGAAGATAACTGATGACTATTCACAGTAAAACAGAAACGATTGAATGTAAATAGTTTATATAAATTCATATTACATGTGTTGCGACCCATTTGTGCCAATTTCTAGGCCCAAAATATTAGCGATTTAGCTCCTTTAAATAATGTTGTTGGGAACCTCTGGCTACACTGTTTTACTATCAGTTCTAAGGGGCAATTTATCGAAATAAAACTGTTAGGGCAAAGTCACACTAGTGGATGTATTTTTTAAAACAAGTCCTCATAGTTTTAGAAAATAGACTATTGAACATGAGTATTATGTTTTGGGATATGTGACATACATGGGGTACATGTAAGCCTTTAACAATTTTGGTTATTTTAATCCACTATGGTGCTGGTATCTACCTTTTGAAATACCAGACACATCTGATATTGAAAACACTGCTGACCTTTACAAATTGATTCAGACTTTATTAGGGTTTCACACTGCGTAGCTTGTGTGAAACACTATTATTTTTGTTAAGATTATTCTTCTTATTTTTTTTTTCCAATTTGATTATATCCCAGAAACTACATGTCTGATCGATACGATTTCTTCGTTTTTTTTGGAAAAGTGGGTGTGACTTAGAGATTAAAGCTATTTTGGGCATTCTGTGACAATGCGAAATGTCCGAAATCACCGAAGTTGTTGTTTTTTTTTTTAAAAAAATGCCATAGTATTAACAATAATCATCGAATATTAACATATGATGCATTTTGACATAGCCGGAGACCAGGCACATAGCTGTGCTACTTTTGATTTTTGATTGTCGACGAATCTTCAAAGATATTAAGCGCCGAATTTCGAAAATTTAAAATTTTACAAAAAACTTTTTTATTTATGAATATTATTATATGGCATTTTACCCAGGGTTAAAGAGTTATCTGATTTGACTAAAAATGTCAACATTTTTTGTGTCCGTAATTTTCCTTGGCCGTCATTGGCTAATTCAGTTTTTCAGTCCTAGATTAATTATTCATTATTCAATTTTCTTTCACCATTTGATGACTAATGCCACGCTTGACTAGGTTAAACCATTTTAACACCTTTACTGTCACCGGAAGTGACGTCATCTGGGCAAAAACTGAAGTTTTAGCCTTCAAAACCGATATTTTTTTCAAATGAGTCATATATGTTATTTGTTTAAAAGTATGATATTTAATTTCAATCAACAAATGGACTGAACCCATACGACTATACAGATACCACAAAATGGGTTCTAACTTGTAAGGTTGCAGAGAAATAGACAATTTTCTACTAGTCATTTTTCAAGGTGTTTGGTCTATAACAGTGTCAATTATTATTCGATTTTCATAAAATTTTCACCATGTGATGCCTTATGCCATTTCTGATTTCATAAAACTAATTTAACATTTTCATTCTCACCGGAAGTAATGTCATTTAAGCAAAAACTCTTATTTTTAGCTTTCAAAACAAATATTTTTCTGAAGTGAGTTATATTTAGTATTCGTTTAACATTATGATATTTCAATCCAATGGAAATATAGATTGGATCAATACGATCATATTATAGATAACTTTTTAAGATTTTTTTCGCATTGTAATTTCCCATTAGAAAGTCAGCTAACTTAGTGGTAAGTTATTAACAAATTTTGTCAGGATCACTTTTTAGACGTTATGTAACACATGTATAAATGGAATTGATATTGCTGTTTTTGGTTGATTCTGCGTCCATTTTATAACACGTTTGCAATGCTTATGTGGAAATCTGTTTAACGGTTTCATTGATACCGGATGTGACATAAGTTCAAGGGTATCGTGGCACCGGATGTGATATAAGTTTAAGGGTAACGTGGCACCAGTGAATCCTGTCATTACTGCATCGCAGTTCTAGTTTCTATTGATATTTCTAATTTTAGACTTAACACGCCTACTTTTAATTTCTATATATACTATTCAAAAAAAGTAGGGGATATTTGATTTTTAAGTGTTATTAAAGTCACCTAATGAAACTGACGAAGAAACAAATGACAAAATGAAATGAAGTTCACATTCATCGATTTATTCCAAATGATCGTTAGACTAAGTAAGGCACAGACTGACCATTATAAGGGTAAAATGATACCCGGGGTCAAACAGCAAAGTTACCACAGCATCACAACCAAGTCAGTAACGGGTAAATCCTCCTCTGTTTGCCAAACAAGCATTGATCCGACGTGGCATACTCCTAATGAGACGTCTAAGGTCATTTTGGTCCAGATTGTCCCATTCCTGTTGCAACGCAGCAGCAAGTTCTTGGACATTGGCAGGACGTTGTTGACGTTGACGTAACCTCTGTCCAAGCATGTCCCAGACATGCTCGATGGGGGAGAGGTCGGGACTCAGTGCTGGCCAAGGTAATGTGGTGATGTTCTGTTGTTGGAGGTAACCTGTAACGATCCTGGCCCTGTGACATCTTGCGTTGTCATCCTGGAAGATGAAACGGCGGCCATGACGTCGTGCGAACGGCACAACATGGACTGCCAAGATGTTGTCCCGGTAGTACTGGCCTGTAACACGCCCTTCAACAACATGTAAAGCCGTTCTTCCAGCTACAGTGATGCCTCCCCACACCATAACAGAACCACCCCCAAATCGATCATGTCTGATGACGTTAACGTCTTGGAAGCGCTCGTTTCGACGACGCCACACCCTCCTCCGTCTGTCCAAAAAATCAACAGTGAACCTTGACTCATCTGAAAACATCACATTGCTCCAGCGTCGATTATCCCAGTGTTGACGATCCCTACACCAACCACGTCTTGCCTGAATGTGATGATCTCTCAAACAAGGGATCACGCGAGGACGTCGGGCGCGAAGGTGACCCCTATGCAGTCGATTCCGAATCGTCTGGCCACTCACTCTCACACCAGTGTCTGTTTGAAGACGAGCGCTGATCTGATTTGCTGTGATGACACGATTTCTCAAGGCCAAGGTACGGATAAATCGATCCTGGGCTTGAGTTGTCGCCCTTGGTCGACCTGAGCGTGGTCTGTCCTGTACAGATTGTGTATCACGGTATCTGGACTATAGCCTGCTTATGACAGACTGAGAAACATTCATCGTCCGCGCCACAACCGCCTGTGTTGTGCCGATCTGTAGCATGCCAAGGGCACGTAACCTTTCATTTTGGGTAAGCCGACGCATATCAAAATTTGTTTTCTGGTCACTAAAACAATTAAACTGATGTTTCCACCCTGGAATTCAATGCCACAATGACTGTAACATTCAAAGTCAGAGTCGTGCAAATCTTGGGTTGGACCCCCATGATGATCCCAAGCATCACCTGCATTCCATGCGGTAGCTATTGGTGCGTTTGGGCGTCACATGTAACTGGAAATGTTTCTTCTGTTAGGTTCTATAGTGACTTTTTTCGTAGTCATTTTCATATTTTAGTATTATGCCCCCAAAATCAAATATCCCCTACTTTTTTTGAATAGTATATATAGAGTTTAAATTAATCACATGTACTATTAGTGTCACTACTATCGTCATAATCAGATTGGAACCACATCCAAATTTGCTAGAGTAATACCAGCTATATTTAGCAACCATTCTAGAAACATGTTTCTGGAATCAAGCCAGAAATTCATTTAGCGCAAATGTGATTTCATGCATACTGCATTACATGCATTAATTAGGCCAAGCAAATATGATTTCAGTTTTTCATGGTGTTGATAAACTGATATCCATTAATGTCCCATAAACACATTTTATTTTCAATAAGAAGCAAATTTTCAAATATGTTCCCAAAGAACAAGTGTTCAAATTGGAGTGGTCTACATGTGTAATAGACATAAGAAAATGTAAAAAGAAACTGTTTCCCCCAGGGAAGGTGGAATTTTCATGATAGAAAATGACATATAACAAACATATCCTGGAGGAATTGTGTCATTACACAGATAAACTAAGTGACAAGAATATACTGGTTCATAGAGAATATCAAATTGACATTGATGATAGACAAGGATAAAAGATGTAAGGACTGTCACGAAATCAAAGCACAATGTTCCAGACAAACAGGTAATATAGACTATCAGACTACATACAATCAAAACACATTAACCAGCAGCTGCCAGGCAGGATACGCCCACATTTTCGAGAGATGGATAGAGAACAAGCTAAAAAGAAAGTGATTTTTCCTACAATCAAGGGCCATAATTCAGGAAATTACAATTTGATATGCGCAAATTTCGAAAAGAACTGAGATCTTTGCGTTATAAACTTATATTTCAAGTTTCAACAAAATCAGATAAAAATTGTGACCTCTATAGGGTCCACAACCTTGATATACCATATTTTTTGGGCTATTTGAGAACGAAGGGCAGCCATTTTGTCTGTCAGTTTTGGGCCGATTTTCACGAAATTCGAACTCAGCCGTCCTTAGGGTGTAACAGTGATATAATAATACATTTTTTAAATCGGATATAAATTATGACCTCTATAGGGTCCACAAGCTAAAAACGCGATTTTTCGTACAATCAGGAGCCATAATTCAGGAAGTTACGGTCCAATTTGAACTCAGCCGTCCTTAGTGTGTAACAGTGATATAATAATACGTTTATTTAAATCAGATAATAATTATGACCTCTATAGGGTCCACAAGCTAAAAACGTGATTTTCATACAATCAGGGGCCATAATTCAGGAAGTTACAGTCCGATATGCGCGAATATCGTAAGGAACCGAGATCTTCGGGTTATAAACTTACATTTCAAGTTTCAACAAAATCGGATAAACATTGCGACCTCTACTGGGTCCACAACCTTGATATACCATATTTTTACACTATTTGAGAACGAACGGCGGCCATTTTGTCTGTCAGTTCTGGGCCGATTTTCACGAAATTCGAACTCAGCCGGTGATATAATAATACGGTTTTTTTTTTAAATCGGATATAAATTATGACCTCTATAGGGTCCACAAGCTAAAAACGCGATTTTTGTACAATTAGGAGCCATAATTCAGGAAGTTACGGTCCAATATGCGTGAATATTGAGAGGAACCGAGATCTTTGGGTTATTAACTTACATTTTAAGTTTCAACAAAATGGATAAAAATTGTGACCTCTAAAGGGTCCACAACCTTGATATACCATATTTTTTCGCTATTTGAGAACGAAGGGCGGCCATTTTTCTGTCAGTTTTGGGCCGATTTTCACGAAATTTGAACTCAGCCGTCTTTAGGGTGTAACGGTGATATAATAATACTTTTTTTTAAATCGGATAAAAATTATGACCTCTATAGGGTCCATAATTCAGGAAGTTACGGTCCGATATGCGCGAATATCGAAAGGAACCGAGATCTGTGTGTTATAAATTTACATTTCAAGTTTCAACAAAATCGGATAAAAATTGTGCCCTCTATAGCGTCCACAAGCTAAAAGTGTGATTTTTCGTACAAACAGGGAGCCACGGTGGCTAGGTGGGTAAGACGCTGGCTCGCTAGCCTGGAGGTCGGGTGTTCGATCCCTGCATTGGCCGAGAAAGTTCATCTGGATTTTCCGACGTGGTTTCCCCTTGTCAGTGGTGCAGAACGGAGGGCCTGACAAGGACAGCTGTCTAGTCCTTCGGATGAGACGAAAAACCGAGGTCCCGTGTATACATTAGAATGCACGTAAAAGATCCCTTGGCAGTTGGAATTCGATATAAGAGTAGGCGATAGTGCCGCTGCCCGGGCAAAATTTCCCTCATAGCACACTGTATGGCGTATGCCCGTCTTCATTAGCCCAGTATAGGAGCAGAACAGTAGGACGTTAAACCCCTTTTCATTTCATTTCATTTCGTACAAACAGGGGGCATAATCCATGAAGTTTTGATCCGATACATGCCAATATCGAAAGCAGCCGAGATCTTTTGGGGATAAACCTATATTTAAAGTTTCGTCAAAATCGGATAAGAATTGTGACCTGTAGAGAGTCCACAAACAATTGTGGACGTCCAGACATACGGACGTCCGCACGGACAGGGGCGACGACAATATACGTCCACATGTAAATGTGGGCGTATAAAAATGAAATGAGGTTTAACATACTACACCAACTGGGATAATGAACATAGGTATACGCCATATAGTGTACTATGAGGGAAAATTTTGCCCGGACAGTGGCACTACGGCCTTCTCTTATTTCAAATTCCAACTGTCAAGGGTTATTTTATGTGCACGGTAACATATACATGGGACCTTGATGTTTTATGTGCATGCTAACATATACATGGGACCTTGATGTTTTGATCCACCTCAATGACTAGACATTGTTCCTTCCTTGTTAGCCACTCAGTACTGAACAAATGGTCAATTAATATTATTATTGACCAGTAATATATCTTACCCTGAAATAAACTAACAATATAAATAAATATGTTACCTCTAAAGTTGCATCGTTGATTTTTGTATGAAATATGGATTTATACTGATCTATTGAATAATCCCAACACCATCCACCTGTTCCTATCATAAATCCTATACACCACATTTTCCAAAATAGCTGCATTTTCGTATATTGAACAATTGTATTTATACCAGTGGCTCCATTTCCATTTCCCCCACCGTTAACGTTCTCTGTTAATTTTGTGTATGGCAATTCTTTTGTTTTTGTATCCAAAACTTTGTAGAAATAAAATAGAATACCAAATGAGAGGAAGCCACCTCCAACTGTATCACAGAAAACATCTATATAATATCCACTGGAGAGTCTTTCGGAATTATACACACGCCCCAGCCCCGCACGCTTGCGATGCACTGAGCCGTCTAAACTATCCATCCATGAACGTAACATAAAAAGAACAGCACCCACACGGCGTTCGCTTAAATTTTCTGAGGAAATAAATTTTGCGGCTATTAAGGCAAGAAAAAGATGTCCGAAACTAATCATATTCGGTGTGATAAAATAGAATACGGTGTTAAATCTGGTTATGTATTGGAAACATTCTATCGTCGGATTAAAAAAATAGTGACTGAAATGGTCGGTCATTATGAGCTTGGCCGATAGAGGAAGAAAGGGAGAATAATGTCCATCTTCTGGCACAGAGGGTACGGCTAATGACGGAGTTTCTTGTAAGGTAGCATATAGGAAAATGTCCATAACAACGAAATACACAAGGATGCTGAATCCAACGAGGGTAACCACACTTCTTTCATCTTTGCAAAAATGTGGATTGCAGGAAGGCATTTTTAGGATAGAGCACACATTAGTTATATACATAAATCACGATCTTCTGTAGTTTAACTTTCACAACCTGAAATGATAATACACAATAGTTAACATGTAGCCATATCATAAAATAACAAATTTGGTATCCAAATGCTTAAAAAGCTGTCGAAGGAAACATTGTGATTCATTAACAGAAATGTCACTCATCTAACAAATTCATCCAATCTGATTGCTGTTTTTTGCAAACACATCTCACTTGTTGCTTCATTAGGCAAATAAATAATTTTAAATTGGCATGATTTAAACATGTTTTAAATTAATCAACCATAAAAAGGTTCCCTGGCTGAAAAGATTCATCAATCAAATTTCAAGCAGTTGTTGTTTTGTGTTGCTATTACACTAGTGCTGAAAATTTGCCAATAATGTTGTTACAATTACAGTATATTTTTAACCAAGGTAAAATACCAAATGTTATACAATATGTGGAATAAAGAGGTCAGATTTTTCATTTAAATTGCAATGCACAAGCCAACACAGTTGTTGCTTTTTACATATAATCAATGGAAACGACATTGTCGCAGAGCATTTCATATTGTCAGCGATACCCTTCCATACCTACTCAGATACAGTATTGTATTTGACACCGTCATAAGGCTTTCTTACATGCACAGTAGTCTTAAACATCTGCCATCATCCTCTAATTGGCTAAACTGTTTTTAAAACACATTTTCATCTTCCTCTAGTCGTGAGAGTTGGGGATTTGAATGGGGTATTATACGTGGAATAGACAAGGGTCTCTCTTCATCTAAATCTACTACTAGATACAGTCTTATTATCAAAAATAACACTCCTCAGTACTCAGAATTTTCATATTTTGGACGATGCTTACTCATTGGACAACCGCACACTGATTGACAGGCTTCAATATTTTTTGATATGACATGACAATTAAAAGATGGCAGCTATGACATGCTAGGTTTTCAGTCCATAGCAGTAAGCTTGTGCTTGTTTTAAGAAAAAAATAATTCAAAGAAATTGTCAAGCCATTTTCTAACTACATGTCGAATCACAGATATTAAGGGCTTGATCATGGGGAATTGGGTAAAATGAACTCTACATGTAATTTGTTTGTTTTCATTTCTAAGTTAAGTCTGTATCACTACAGTCCTGGGACTGTACACATAATCTGATATGTACGTTTGTTTGTGATTTCTGCGTATTGTGTCTTGTTTGTAAATTTCTCTTGTAATTGTTTGTGTGTGGTGCAGCCCCCGTGCACTTACTATTAGATTCATTGTTAACTTTTGTTAGTAAAAACTAGAAGTTAAAAAACCCCCAAACCAAGTCATATTGATTGATGGTAGCAGATCAACCAGTATTATCAATCTGTAGCCCTACTCTAGTAGATTACTTCCTTTAGGGAAGGATATCTTACTGTACTTGACAATCCAGTGAAATATGTACAGAAAGATAATTTCATACTAAACCATTCAAATGCAAATTTCCATAATTTAGTATTTAAAAAGGTGAACCTCTTTGATATGAGTTAAAAATAAAATTGTTCATTTCACAGGGGATTTGTTTGTTAATTTTATATTTTGGGTGGAGGGAAGTGAGGGCTGAGAACAATCTATCCCCATTAAATATTGTACATCCATAGATAATACATTCTGTGTTCTTGTGTTGACACAGAAAGCCAAAAATGAAAATAAATTACCAAATAAACCAACTTCCTTGAATTGTATCAGGGAAATAACACATCAGATGAACCTCATTCTTTACATCCTACTTTTCTGCACCCACTGCATGCAGTGTGCCATGACACTGCTACAGTTTTTCATCCCATCTGAACGACTAAATACTGTTCTTGACAGACCTACATCCTGGACGACTGACAAGGGGAAACCACATCATCAGATGTACCTTCTCTTTATGTTCTACTTTAAGCACTCACTGCATGAAGACAGGTATCTGCCATGCAGTGTGCTATGAGGGAATTTTTGCCCAGACAGCGGCACTACAGCCTACTCTTTATTTTGATTTCCAACTGTATTAGGTTCTTTAACATGTACACCAATGTGTACACAGGACCTTAGTTATTTGTCCCATCCGAATGACTCGACACTGCTCTTGACAGGCCGTATGTACTGCATGACTGACAAGGAGAAACTATGCCAGAAGATCCTGAAGAACCTTCTTTATCAACACCGGGACCAAACCTTAAATCGCCTTGTACATGAACCAAGATTTATTTTTGTGTAATAATATGAATGATCCATTATACTGACGTGAATTTTCATTTGATTCTATTCAGAGAACTGACTTAAACAGGAGGTATTTCATGTAAAAACCTAAAAGAAGCATTATACAAGAGCTAAACATGCCTTTATACATGGCGTTTTTCTGGATTTAAATGTCAGCAGGTACTTTATCTACATGACATATCAGTACTCAGCAATATTACATTTTATACTACATTAATTTACTACTTTATCAAACGTAATCTATATTTTATATTCTCCATATCAATATAATATTTTCTATTAGTTTCTTAATATAATATTTTCTATTAGTTTATCAATATAATATCTTCTGTTAGTTATCAATATAATATTTTCTATTAGTTTATCAATATAATATTTTCTGTATATTTTAAGATTAGTTTTATTTTCTAGTCTTTTTAATCCTTTAATGTATAATGCCACTGTAAGCCTACATATTTAAGATTATTAAATTGTCACATATTCTAATTTTTAAAAATATGTGATTTGTATAAACTGGTTATGGTTTTGTTTTTTGTTAGTTGATAAAAGAGGAAATCTACCTGAAACAATCTCTATATAAATCGTTTAACATGAAATAGACTTTAATGTCTGGATAATACAATACTTCTGTCAATTTACGTCTAGCATAGACTTGGTTTATTTGATGAACTATATGAACGTCATTTATTAAATGCTTTTAATTATAAGTATTGTGCTGAATATCAGCATATCCATCTTTTATTCCCAACTGTTGATGTTTCTTCTATGTCCACATGCGCGTGCAACCCAAGTACATGTAGTTTATATAATAACATAGAGGCTTTATTTAAAATCATTCCTGTTTGGACTACACAGTTACCTGTATATCTTTAGGTGTGTTTATATTTAGCTGCATGTAAATTTTAGATATTTGAACCCATCTCATTTTACCACCGTCATTAACCTGGTTAGAGCAAAGATGTAAGGTGTTAAACCCCATTTCATTTTATAAAGCCATACGTGTGTTATGTCATGGTTCAACTGTTTTTTATTGTTACCGTTATTATCTACAATGTCTTGGTTGTAACTTGTTACCATTGCTTTATTACATAAAATGTGAAAGTATTTAAATATTTATACAAATTGTATTCACGAAGCAAATCGATACAGGATAAAACACTTCTTATCCACATCAAATGGGAATGCTTTTCAAAATTAGGGATTTGTAAATCAAATATTTAACTCATCTGAACTGAAAAATATATACTATTATCCCCCACTCCCACCCACCCCAAAATACTATATGTATGTACTAACTTCATTTATTACTCTTAAACTTAAAACTATGTAAATAATGTACTAGATTTATCACCCCCCAAAACTATGTACCAAAAATTTACACAAATATCTACTAGATTTATACCCACACAAAAATATCATCTACTAGATTATCATCCCCCCCCCCCCCCAAAAAAAAAATATCTGCTAGATTTATCAGCCCTGCAAGAAGTAACAAAACATCTGTAGCTATAGTTGTAAGAATTAGAACTGTAATGTATCTAGATGTAGTCAATTCAATAGTGGACATAAGGATTAAGAAATATATGCCTTGGTTAAATTCTGCTTCTCTTGAATAAACTCAAGTAAACATGACACAATTTCTACTTTCAAGAATGATGTTTTTTTCAAATCTGCCATCTGTGTATTTACTATTATATACCATACTAAAACTGCTGCCCACATTTAAGACCCTGATGTGCAGTCTTCCCATCAGATCAGGAAAACACATATTCATATCGATTTCCAAAACCTGATAAGTCGGCTCTTAACGTCTCCTTTATTTGTGTAAAAACAATTTGTTATTTGATTAGATCTGAAGTGATATTCTGTTAAGGATCAGAAAACTTTCCAATACTTACATTGACAATTTTCAGCACAGCAGATTTTATTGATTCTGTTTGCTGTCCTTAATACAGAGTTTTTATACATGTAAATAATATTCTCCTTATATCCATATAGTCATCTATGCTGATATATCATAATATAATTGTTATTGTCATATATACCTACTATCACTGTTCAACTTGGTCTAACATACAACTCTCTATGAATAGATCGTAGAACATTATCTACATATAGAAAAAAATCCCAGTAACAATAACAAAACCATACACAGAACTTCTGCTGACTTAATTAATCTGCACTATAAACCTACTACTATAGAGATAACAATTTCCATCTAGTAAATAGTTCTAACTTATTATTACCCTAGATTCAAATATATGTTTGGTATCAACAACTCATTAGGACTATTAGGAGAGGTAAACATGGGATTAACCAATTACATATATAAGGATTAATATACATGTAAGTATAAGTACCTGGACTAATTAAACTCCATACAAAAATACTTAAAGTTGCAATAAGCAGATCATTCATGTTTATCTGAAATATGTACTACAAGTATTTTAATGTAATGTTTATTTGTCATTATATAATTAATTAAATACATCTTGAGGGTTAAAAATCCTTCACAAAGACCTAATTGACCATAATCTACCTCTTTCTCTATGACCCATCAAATTGTACATTACGTACTGAATAAAAATATCAATGGTTTTGGGCAAGAGTTGGTTTTTTTTTTTCATTCTTCACCTTGTTTTTCTTTGTTGTTGAAATCTCATATCTCTAATATCAAGGAAAAATCCAATCAATTTTGTGGTTGCCCGATCAATTACATGAATTGTTGCCCAGTAAAAATAAATCAATTGAAAGACGACAAGAATGCTATACCGGTATTGAAAGTGTTTGAATATTGCACAATTTACAATTTTTGATTATG